TGCCCTCAGGTTCAGATACAGGGAGAGAGAAACCCACCAATGGGAACTGGAGGGAGCCCTGGCGATTTGCAGAAGCCCCACTCCCGCTCCCCATGCACCCCTGCAGCGCCGGGGGCCCTCCTCGCTGGCGGATGGGTGGTGGGGGTTCCCCATGCCGGGCCAGCAGCGCTGGCTGTCCCTCTGACCGCCGTCTGCCTCCCCAGGCTGCTGACGGACTGGAGGTTCACGCGGGGCGTGGAGGAGCAGACCAAGGCTTTCCTGGATGGCTTCAACGAGGTGGTGCCGCTGGAGTGGCTGCGGTACTTTGACGAGAAGGAGCTGGAGGTGAGCCGGCACCTTTGCTGGCGCGGGGCAGCGGAGGCACCGGTGTGTCCCACCCCGGGAGTGGCACCTGGTGATGGCAGAGCACAGGCCCCGCTCTGCCCTTTGGCTCTGCTGATGGGGTACCCCCACCCCAGGTGGTCGGGTCTGCGGGGTGGCTTGCTGGGTCCCTTAGCAAGAGAACTTCTCGTTAGAGGGGAGGAATCCCTCCTAGCAGCTCCATTGCCCAGTGCTGGAGTCTGCCCCTTGAGAAGCCTGGCGCTGGAGCAGTCGGTGCCCCGAAGCACAGGTGCAGGGCCCTGTTCCTGTCCTCCTGCTGACTGTCCCCTGTCCCCAGCTGATGCTGTGCGGCATGCAGGAGATCGACATGAACGACTGGCAGAAGAATACCATCTACCGGCACTACACCAAGAACAGCAAACAGATCCAGTGGTTCTGGCAGGTCAGTCCCAGTGCCAGCGGCACCTCCGACCACTCTGCAGCCCTGGGACCATCCCCAGCCCGGGGCCCGGGGCAGGCAGCCTCCCAGGCTGTCAGGAAGACCAAAATACACGTGGCCTTGGGCTATGGGTGGCAGAGGCCCCGACACTGCCACCGAGTACAGTGTGCCTCTAGCAATAGCTGCTGCTCTTGGGCAGGGTGACAGGAGGGGATGACATAGAATCACAGAATCGATTTGGTTGGAAGAGACCTTTAAGATCACCAAAGCCAACCATTAACATGTAGTGCTGTAGTGCTCATGGCGCTGCTCTGTGCTGGCCAGGGGGTGAAACATGGATCTGAAGGAGGGCAAGGACGGGCAGAGCTGCTCCCTGAAGGCCCCTCGGGATGCGCTCATCCCCGAGGATGTGGGACTGCAGGCAAGGGCTGGAGCCTTCTCTTTGAGACTGGGGAGACCTTAGAGCAGCCTTCCAGTACTTAAACAGGACCTACAGGAAAGCTGGAGAGGGACTTTTTACAAGGGCATGTCATAATAGGGCTTTACACGGAAAGAAGGGAGATTTGGATTGGAGATTCGGAAGAAATGTTTCACAGTGGGGGTGGTGAGACACTGCAACAAGTTGCCTTGAGAAGCTGTGGATGCCCCATCCCTGAAGCACTCAAAGATAGGTTGGCTGAGGCTCTGAGCAACGTGCTGTAGTTGCAGATGTCCCTGCTCAGTGCAAGGACCTTTAAGGTCCCTTCCCAGCCAAACCATTTGATGATTCCATGACCACGTGCCCGGCATGCTGCAGTGCTCCAGGCTGTGTCCAAGCCCAGCTGCCCGGAGGGTGGGGTGTGCTAGAGGCAGGAGCTGTGCTGCAGGATGGTGCCCCAGGCCCAGCCGGGCCGTGACCCTGGGGGTGACAGGGATCCCACTCTCTGCCATGTTCCATCGTAGGTGGTTAAAGAGATGGACAACGAGAAGAGGATCCGGCTGCTGCAGTTTGTGACGGGGACCTGCCGCCTGCCCGTTGGGGGCTTCGCGGAGCTCATC